ACCAAAGGCCAATGTTCTCTCTGATTTGTGGATGCTAACTCAGAACAAGGGAGGGTAGGGAGGGGAAGAATAGAAGCCCATTGGATTAGACAAAGGGAAACAAATGAAGGGAAGGGAGCAGGGAGGAGAATAGGAAGGACAGTAGAGTTAATTGGTCATAACTTTGCTAGCCTTGTATTTGAATACATGACCAGGGAAACTTCACATCATGTACGACAACAGAAGTGGGGACCTAAATTGAATAAGTTATACTTCATGTATGTATATTCTGCCAAAATACATTATACTATCATATTTAACTAAAAATTTAAAAAAAAAGTTAGAAATGTAGCTCAGTGGTAAAGCACCTCTGATTCAATCCTCAGTAACCCCCCCMAAAAAAGTGGCATTATCAGTGTCCCCACAGATCACAGAAACACGGTGGCAGCAGAGGTCCATCCTGTACCAGTGCAACCCTTGGATGTAGAGTGTTACCCTCACAGAGTCTGACTGCTCTTCACAGTTGAAGATCTCTGGGAGTCTATTTTGCTGCTGGTTGCAGGTGTTTTCCAACAGTCTAAATAAATCTTCAGTTAATAAACAGTCCAATAAATCTCTTTGGGTGCGTTCTGTTTCTTAAACAATTCAGTCAGGGCAGACAGAATATTTGAGCTTGGATTCTGTCTCCAGCAGACACAGGGGTTTAAGTGAGCTGTTTTACACAGCCCGAGGGGTCGTTCACTGGAACCTTAGGATGGACTACAAGTATCATGGCTCTTTAAATCAAGTTGAGGATCTGAAGGCATTTCTTTATACACAGAAAGACAGTCATGAAGGTGTTTAGAAAAGCAGGATAAGTTTACATGGAGTTTCATAACTTTATCCTCCTTCCYCTTTCTGCTGTCAGTTTGCAAAAGATAAATCCGTGCCAAGAACTCGACTGCACACGAACCAACATTGCTTTAATCTTTGTGTGAACCTTGGAAAAAGGAAGCTAGTTTTCCTTGGCAAACTTAAGTAGTCAATTCATACAAACCTCATCATTATGAACCTGGGTCTTTTGGGATTGCAGAGAGTTTATCTGAATTTGGGGCAGGTATAGTTGAAGAAAACATGTTTAAAACTTTTTCTTAATGCAAACTATTGAACTTAAAGTTGGCTAAGATATTTCTAGAGCAGATACAGAAGATGGAATAGAATAAAAGCTTAGTGGGACAGAAGAGAAATTATTTAGGGAATCAAAATCTATCACATGGTAAGCAAAATAAGAATTCTGACCAAGGACAAGGTTGACAAATTAAAATGGAGGGGAGCCCCCAATTTGAATATGAAATTATGCTTATGCTGTGCACATGAGAACAGAAGCTGTAATGTATTGAGTACCCTCATGTTGGGGTTGTGCTTTACATGTGGGCCCACATGCCGCAACATGTTACATATCCCCATTTTACAGATAAGAACACTGAAGTTAGTGATAAGCAACTAAAAGCTAGGGATGGTGGTGCACACCTGTAATCCCAGCTACTTGGGAGAAAGACTGATGCAGGAGGATCACATATTCCAGGCTCATCTGGGCAACTTAGTGAGAACCTGTCACAAAATAAAAAATAAAAAGCTGGGAGTGGTGGCACATGCCTGTAATCCCAGAAGCTCAGGAGGCTGAGGCAGGAGCATAGCCAGTTCAAAACCAGCCTCAGTAATAGGAGGTGCTAAGCAAATCAGTGAGACCCTGTCTCTAAATAAAATACAAAATAGGGCTGGGGATGTGGCTCTGTGGTCGAGTGCCCCTGAGTTCAGTTCCCAGTACACATCCCCGAAAAAATAAATAAAAAAGTAAAAAGAGCTGGGGTACACGTTGCTCAGTGTTAGAGCACATCTGGATTCAATCTCCAGTACCACACACAGAGAAATAATAATATAAAATAAATAAATAAAAGCAAGTAAGTAGCAGTTTAAATTAGATGTAAAAAATTTCTCATTAAAAAAGGCTTGGCTGGGTGTGGTGACACATGCCTGTAATCCCAGCAGCACAGGAGGCCAAGGCAGGAGGATCCCAAGTTCCAAGACAGCCTCAGCAACTTAGTGATATCCTGTCTCTACATAAAAAATAAAAAAGGCTGGGGATGTGGCTCAAGCATCCTGGGTTCAATCCCCAGTACCAAAAAAAAAAAAAAAAAAAAAAGCATTCTAAAATCATATTTTGCATTTCCTGCCTCCTTCATTATACTGAACATTGAGCAGCCCTCTGTTGAACTCCTCCTCATCACGGCGACTAGACAATACCATTAGTGAGGTGATGCTCTCAGGTCTGTGGTGCAGGGGCTCTTGACTCATACTGCTCTTTTCCACTTGGTATCTCAGAATGTAACTTTGATTCTTCCTTCATCTGCAGTTCATATGCTTCAAGTCCTTTTTCTTCCTTAAATGGGGATCTGGCACTGCACCAGTTAGCACTGTATGTAAAGTAAGAGTAAACAGGCCCCATGGGCTGGCCTGCCCCTACCAGCCCATAATAGCAGGTTCCCTACCTTCCACTTCCACAACACAGCAGCCTCATTGCACACCTAAGTTCATGCTCATCCCAGATGGAGAAGTGCACTAGTCACTGAATTCTAAGCCCGTGAGGTAAAGGAAACTTTCATTAGAAGTGAGACAATAGAGCCGGGTGTGGTGGGGTGTGCTCCTGTAATCCCCTCTGCTTAGTTCAGAAGGGTAAGGCAGGAGGGTCACAGGAGGGTCACAAGAGGGTCACAAGTTCAAGGCTGTCTTAAAAATTGAAAAATAGAAAGTTCTGGGGATGTAGCTCAGTGGTACAGCCCCTCTGGGTTCAATCTCTGTACAAAATAAATAAATAAATAAAAGATGATAAATATAAACATTCACATGCATGCAGGGTTTTATTTATTGTCTCACTAGCATTGACCTACTGCTCTCAAAAATTTCCAGACTAAAAAAATCTTTCTTTCTGAAGAAAGGAAATAAATACCCACTTAGCATTTGTTTATATTGTTCTATTGTTCCGTTTTTTTCCTATAATAGAAGGTGTATTTGGTTCACTCATTGCAAAAGCCTTCACTACACATTTACATAGACTTCTCACTAATACACTAAAAAAAAAAAAAAAAAAAAATAGTGATTGAACCCAGGGCCTTGTGCATGATGTGCAAGTGTTCTGTCAGGGAGCTACACCCCCAGCCCTAAACCTTTCTGAGGTAAAAAAAATAATAGAACATGAACATAGCTTTGGGTCAGATTCCCCCTCCCTGCCCCCCAGTTTGTTTCTGGACACTTTCTTTTGCCTGCTAAAGGGCTCAGAAGTGTGTACACCTAAGCCTGGGGACATTTATAAACTACTTTTTAATGAGCCTTGATTTTGGATGAAATGGCGTGGTGAGCCAGCTGCTCCTCATGTAGTTTTTGCTGTAAATCCTTCAAAGAATGAAAATTGAGGACCAGTCATTTCCCCAGGGAATTTTTCCTTCTTATTATTTTTCTTTTTGTAAAGTCATTATTATATTAAGGTATGGGTATGAGACATTAAAAGAGATAAGGGGTATCATGTGAAGCAGGAAATCAGACAATCAATCCAAATAAACTATAGAAATTAAATCAGATCCTGCAGGCAGGGTGGGAGGTGACACTTTCTTTTCAGAGTTGTCTTCAAAAGTAGGAATGGAAAACAAAACAAAAAACAAAGACAACCCGCACTCAGTTGCAGAAGGAAGCTGGGGTCTTGGCCTGACAGCTGTTAATGTCTTTATGAGAGGGCAGCCATTCAAGTGCCTTTTCCAGAATAGACCAAGGAAGACAAGTCCAGTTCAGTTTTTAAGGCTTCAGTCAGCTCTGTGGCCAGCAGCTCGTGGAGGGACACACCATCGTGGGAGTACACCCAGCTTTTCCCAGTCCAGTCGTAGCGCTTGGGTCCACTGGAAGATAAAACAAACACACGGGAAGTCCATGGGATGCTCTAGGAGAAGCACTAAGTTTTGTTTGGGATCAGAGATGTGCCCTGAAGGGTGGTGTTAAAGGATTGGTGGCCKGCCCACAGTGCCACAGGGAGGCGATGGAAGGTGTGGGAGGGGGCTAGAGGAAGAGGTCAGGTCCCTGAGGGTGCTCTCCAAGGGGATGTTGGAACCCTGGTCTTCTCTTTCTTTGCTTCCAGCCACCATGGGGTGGGTGGCCTCTTCTACCACGTGCTCCCAGAATGGTGCYGGGCTCACCACAGGCCTGATGTGACAGGGCCAAGCAACTGTGGACTGAAACCTCTGAAATTGTGAGCCCAAAACCCCTTGCTTCTTTTCAATTGATCACCTTAGGTATTTTGCCACAGAGATAAAAAAAGCTGACCAGTACACAGGTACCACAAAGACTGCCACCAAGATACTGCCCAGAGTATACAAGTGAGGCACATATTTGATTTCTTTTTTCTTTCCAGTACTATGAATGGAACCCAGGGTCTTGGCTAAACAGACATTCTACCACTGAGCTATATCCCTCATGCCATATATTTGATTTCTTGACTTAGTGTCTTTCTATTTAAGAATAATTATAAGTGGGGGGCAGTGGTGAATGTCTATAAATCCTAGTGACTCKGGAGGCTGAGGCAGGAGGATGTCAAGTTTGAGGTCAGCATTAGCAATTTACCAAGATCCTGTTTCAAAAAAGAAAAAAGAAAAAAAGAACTGGAGATGTAGTTCAGTGGTAGAGCACCCCTGGGTTCAATCCCCAGTACCAAAATCAATCAATCAATCAAAATACAAAAGTTAGAATAATCACATAACCCATCTTCTGGAACATTTCACAGAAAAGTTCTCAAGACCTGAAAACATTTGGCTCTTATCTGTCAGTCTCCAGGCATCCAGTTCTGACTTTGCCTACCTCACTTAAGATACTTGCTATCTTAGAGCAKTGCTTATAAAAATCATGGCCATTTTGTGTCACTGACATGATTTGTGCATTGCTTGCACTATTATTAATTATTATTATTGCTTAGGGCAATTGCTGAGGTTGGCTTTGAATTTGTGATCATCCTGCCTCACCTTCCCAAATCCCTGGGATTATAGGCATGTGCCACTACATCCAGCATTTAAAAAAAAAAAAATTTTTTTTGGTACTAAGAATTAAATCCAGGGGCACTCTACCACTGAGCTACATCCC